ATATGAAACTTATAAAATACTCTTAATACATCATGTTTTTAAGTTATTTGATACATGGAAATATTAATTTACTTAAAAGAAAGTGAAAAAATACCAAGCTTTGTAACTACAGAAACTGAAGCAAAAATTAAAGTGCTGTTTATATAACTCACAAAAAAATAGCACACGGTTAAGTTTTTAATAGAAAGATTAAAATAAGACCTTAATTAAATCTACAATTGTTAAATATACTCACACCAAATTCAAGTGCCTAATTACATAATGTCAGAGAAGCAATATAATTTATTTGTTCATCATGTTTGCTTTCAATTTTATCTCATCTAATTTTAGGCATATAATACATTTTGAAGTCTTAAGAATGTAAAATAGCAATTAAGATTAAGCAAGTAGAGAGTTCATCTATTTAAAAGTTTCATAATTTGTGATGTGAACATACTGGTGTTGAAACTTTAATCAACTGCATCAACCAACAACCTAGATGTGGATGACATCTATCTTTGCTTTGAAAATCCTGGCATTAAGCATATTTATAAAATCCTCAACTAAAGAAGGCCTCAGAACAACTGGGTTTCAAAATGTTGGATACCATAGAAAATACAATATTAGTTCTATACACTTTCATTAAAACAATCTAGTTTCTGTATCCTTGCTTGCAACATGGCATCTTGAGTTTCTACAAGTCCAGCTACATGACATCTCAAGTTTCTACAGGTCAAGCTACATGACATCTCAGTTTCTACAGGTCCAGCTACATGACATCGAGTTTCTACAGGTCCAGCTACATGACATGTAGCTGGACCTGTAGAAACTCGATGTCATGTAGCTGGACCTGTAGAAACTCGATGTCATGTAGCTGGACCTGTAGAAACTCGTACATCTTATTGCCTCATCACTAGATCATACATTCTTACAATATATCACAGTTTAAAGTTATAGTTTTGAACACTGAAAGTTGGCAAAGCATAACAAGTCAATAGTATGTCAGAATGAATAATCTCCATAAATACATTTTTTCTTCTTTCAAATTTCATTGTGCATCTTCAAATATTTGCTAGAAGCAAAAAAAAGGGAATAAAACAGTGAAAATACTGTTAACTTCATAACATGTATTTTCAGTAACATTTCACAGATTCCATTTGTAATACTTGCAAAATTACAGTGTCCCATTCACTTCCACAGAAGTGTAAACACATGAGTTATAGTTTAATTACTTGCATACAAAGAGAAAGGAATAACAAATTGTTTTCTTATGACACTAACATACCTGTCTAGCTTGTGCATAGTGCAAAGCCAGATAAAACTCAGGTAAATGATCATTTGGATCAGAAGATTGAGCTCTACAAGAAAAACAAAATTTTGTCAAGTCAGTAATCAAAAACAAAAAGCACTACAACAAACACCTTACTGTAACAACAAACTTATTTTGTGGCCAAACTCCCCCAGAAAAGTTATGCAGCTCATCTTCAATGTAACCCTAACCTTTTTGTCATTTCTTTGATAGTTTAAAGCATGGTGCAGACAGAGAATAATTATAAAAAAATACCAATGATAAGATCATTGAAGTCAACATATTTAAGAGAGCCTAATAACATCAGCAGACATCCAACAAAGTTACAAACATAACTCTCTTAATATGGGATTAGGAAATTTGACCAACCATGTGACCTTTTGTACTTTTTCAAAGTCTATACAAGATTTGATATTACTAACTTTTAATATAATATATATATATCTTCACAAAATATGGCAGTCTTTCAGTAAACATTATAAGTCTTTCACATACAAAAATCATATATTTTATTGAAGTATTTTTAATAAACTAAAAAAAGATTTATCCGAGAATATATCGAGTATTTGTTTTGAATAGTCCATGTGCAAAGTGATTTTCATGTTAAGATTGAAAATACTTTTCTTCATCTCAAAAATCTCAAATATCATTTGTATATTCTCTAAAACCTCCTAAATGCATTTCAAATGTTTGTTTTCAGTAAAACTTTATATTTTATCTGTTACTTTTTCTGCCCTAACTCCATACAAGTTTGTCAATTTCACAAACCTCATAACCACCAAAAAAAAATCTAAATTACTCTCTTTTTCTTTCTAGAATGTACTTCAAATGTAACATGAAACTACATTCGTTTATCCAAAGTAGCTTTGAATTCCTAACTGTATACATCTATTTATAATTAAATTTTATTGTTTTATTGCCCTTTAAACCATGTCTAACTATTATTCATGCCATTATAAGTTGTAAATCACTTGGCAACATGCAACTCATGTTACACTATCGATTTACATTGCAAACGAGCTACTCCGAGTTGCTCACGTGCATGCCTGATGAAATATTTTTATTATATTGTTATTCTAACCTGAAGAGATCCATATTTTTACATTTTAGTTACTGTTATAAGAATAAATAAAAAATAAACATGAAAAACAAGAAATAAAGTACTTAGACATGTCTTCTTTTTTTTTTTGCTGTCGATGACACTTAACCCTACTTTTTTTTTTATACAAATGTTAGTAATGCACAAAATAGTTTTTAGTTAATTCAATAATGCACCAAAAAAATAGAATAATAACATACAAGAAGGAGACAATTTTCTCTAACTATCACAACTTTTCTGGCTTTCTAACTATGTGACAAGAGCCGCTACAAATTCATTCTAGCTAGTCATTATCTTTACCATGGGAACTAAGCTTGTACTAGAAGTGAAATTGACAATTCTCTGTTCAGAACACACAATGTAATATAATACATTATTTGATAAATGAAAACCTTGGCTATCTACTGGTTATCAATAATATAAAACTATTAACAAATGCTGAAAGAAAGGATGTGACAAGTAGGTGTGACAAGAGGGGCCTGATTTTCTATTTGATAGCTCTGTAACCAAACAAAATTGAAGGCTATAAAAATGATGGTTTATCTGAGCAATGACGATTTTATAGTGAGTAATTTACGTTGAATTTCGTAATTATTGGAGGGGTGGTGAATAAAATACAGAAGATGGGATGCCTACAGAAAATTTGTCACCTTTCTCACACTAGGGGAAATTCAGAATTTAAAACTTATATACTATTAAAATATGCATTATTAGCTACGGTTTTATGCTATACTAATTGGTATAACATAAACAAAAGTAGTTTCATAAAATTTTGAATATAAGCCACTAAAAACTCATTACATGCGCAGCAAATGATGCCCAGGCAGATAGGGCTAATAAGATCCACAGAAAGCCAAGATACTTCTGACCGCTTAATAAGATCAGCAGAAAGCCAACAAAGTTAAAAGATCTACATGTATTAAATCCTACTGTATAACTAATATTTCATTTGGTAGGATCTGTAAGTGATTAGTTTGTAAAATATCTTTAATCTTAGCAACCAAGACATTATTATTGTACAATCCTATATGTCTTGTCAACTATTTCACATACTTTAGAAAGGCTTCAAAGGCTTTGGCTCTAACTGACTGTTTTTTTGGCTGTGGTCTTGCTTGTTCTGCCAGTAGATGGTGTCCAAGTCCAACAGCAAGGTAACAACGGCACAAAAGACCCTGGGGATGGGAACGTTCCCGGTCCAAAGCTTCATGAGCCATTTTGAGTCCTTGTTCTGGTTGGCCTAGATGTTCGTAGCATAGTCTTGCTGCCAATAAGGAAGGAAGACTTCCAGATGGCTGTAGTCGGGCACATTCTTGTAAGACTAGGAAGCCTTGTCCATGCTGGGAAGAGATAATTTGTATGTGATTATATAAATTACATTTTCATTCTTTAATATTTTAGGTTACATATGACCATTTTCAATAATTTTTTTTATCTTAAAAGCTTGTTATTATCAATGAAAAATAAAACACTTTTAATAACTAATTAAAAATTGCAATAAAGATTTCACAGCAAATTTTAGAATAAAAATACTGAATTATTTCAACATTCACCGTTTAATTGATTTACTTGAACCCAATGTTTTTTAACAGCATTAATTTAGTAAAACAAATACAAGATTATACTGTTATGACATAAATAACAGGCATACATTGTCAAATGTAGCTGATTTTTATCAACTTAAAAAAGATAGAATTATCTTCCAAAACTCAATTTCAAAACTATAATCCAACTTAATCAGAAATGTAACTATGAAAAACCTCACAGAGGCCAGTAAATATAAATATTTCAAGGATTAACTAATTTCTCTCTCTACTTTTATGATAAAACAAAACATTTACCAGAGAATATTAAAAACTCTCTTTGAATTAAATTATCTCTTGGTTCCAAAAAACTACCAGTAAAATGGAACAAAAAAATCCATTTCATTTGTTAAAAAATACTATGTGGTAGAGGCTGCTATCAATGTTATCCACTAATTTTTATGTTATTGATAAATATGGTGAGGTCTTATTTATGCTACCTTATTCATATAAAAACACTTCTTATGTACCAAACATGTAATCTGATTTTGCTTTCTAGAAAATGCTGAGAGCAAAGAAGAAAAAAAAATCAGTATTTTTACAATTATTATAAATGTACTTAATGCAATAACATAAGCCTACATTCCTTTTAGTATTTGAATAACAGTAACATAACAAACTAAAATCTTGCAAAAACCTATACTGAATACAAAGTTGCACCTAATTACCTTTCCTGCAGAAATCAGTGACAAAGCAAATTGAAACCAGATATGATACTCCTCAAAGGAAAATTTCATTGCACCTTCAAAAGACTGCAAAAAACAAAATCATAAATACACCCATTCATAAGAGATACTCATTAAAATATACAGTATATAAATTCACACATATACACCTATATAAATACCTGTAAACCAGTTCTTGTTCAATTGCTTTAAACTTTTTTTGAGGAAAGGCCCTTGGAGCTTGAATCATTTGTTATTGTTGATTTTTCCTGTGAAATGGGATTGAAGGCTCCACCAGAAACATTCATTGCTGAAGATGCAACAAAACTGTCTGCTTTAGAGATTTTTTTTTTCAATACAATTTTACACAGAGCAAAAGAACTATGGGGATACTTGCTAAAGGAAAGATAAAAATGCAAGTACAACATTAAAGTAAACCACTATGCACTGTAAAAAAGAACTGTTGATGATGTTGTAAAGAAATCCTGCAGTAACTGGCACAAGATTCTTTCTACCAGAAAATCTCAAATCAGTTTGGAAAAGCTTTGGTCAGTCCTTTACTACGCCCTACGTAGTAATTTTACAGCCCCTAAAATAAAGAACTTTATTTGACAACTTCTAGTAGTGATAGTGCATATTTAAAGCCTGACACTCTTGTATATTGTTTTCTCTCCTTTGTGGCAAATTATTTTACATATACAAAAGAACCATGCAAATTGTGGAATTCGCTAATAGATTATTTTCAAAAGACTATCTTCCCATTTATTCTTTTTTAAACATATTTTAGAATTACCTTTCATTTAATATGAGAAATATCTTCAGAAACAGTAAGTTAGGATTATATGCAATGTGGTATGAAACTTGTATTAAGCTGAAAGTTATTATTTTTCTACACTGAAAATATATTTCAGATAGGTAATTACCTCCAATCATGTAATAGCTTTTTTTGTTCAGTTTTGCCCTCTATATCCATACATTTTTTTGCATACCACTAGCCTTGATACTCCCACATACTCCACAGTCAACGTGGTTCACTGCGTCTTCACATCTAAATTATCATGCAACAATCCTCCACTAAGAGGAGTGCGACTCACCCTTCTGATGCACATTATTCCCCCTATTCAATTTCACCTAACTATTCCTTTGAGATTAGGCAAAAATTAATCCCCAGTAGTGGGGAGGAAGTGTGAGAGAAGATAAGTATCTATAGGAAATATATTTTCAATGTAGGAAAATAATAACTTCTGACACGGTAGCTTACCTCCACTCATATAACAGTTAGAACCCCACATTGAAAAGGTGGAGAGATCAGTGCACAGGATATAAATAAGCATCCTTCGAAAGTGTCTGAAGAACACCAACAGAGTGTAAACCCCCGTTAGGAGAGGAATGCACATGTGAGACTGCACCACTTCTGTACAAGTTATACTCTTTGCCCATGTGGTAGTAAGTGTTACAGAAATGGATGGAAATTGTGAGGAGCACATCCAATAAATGAGAGAAAAATCCCTGGGGTTGTCCAATCCCACTGAAATCTCTGGAATCATAGTAGAGGAGAAAAATAAATGTAAGTAACCCAGCCACAGATGGTGGAGAAAGCTTAAATGGATGTGCCCCTTGGTGTAGAATGGCTAGGACACAACAGACCATACTCAGTTGGTCAACTCCAATCCAAAACCAGGTGACACTGAGCATATATCTTTTGACCCATGGTAGGAGGAGGGTCCACACCATCTTCACCTCAAGTTGAGTAGAATGGAAGGAAAAAATTCTGTACTGGTCAACTAAACAGAGCACGTGTGCAAATCCACAATCAACACTAGCCATCTGTGAACCTGATGTCCGATAGATGGTAGGAAGAGACATGCCATCATGGTGGTTCACTTCAAACCCAAAACCAATTGGACTGGTTCCATTCTGTGCAACATCAGCCTCTTGGAATGAACCTTACTGAGGTGAAGTGCCAGAGTGAGTACAGTTCCCCCACTCAACATCATCCTTTGGATAGTATCACACAGAAGCTGGAGCACAAGATGAATGACTGACTCCCTAAGCAACCACAGACCTGGAACATATCTAGCCAGATCTGCACAACATAAACCTAAGGAACCCTCCACATGGAGGTGGAGCACACGAATTAAAATCCCATGATCAAGGTAGGATGAGGAATCACAATCAACACATATGTGAGGACTTATATTGATTGGTCCAATCTTAATCTAAAACCACTCAATGGGAACCAATATTCAGTTGATGGTAGGATGAAAGATCCAAATTGGAGGGATGAAGTGCAATGTAGCAGATCTACTCTATCTCTTTTAATATACGACTGTGATTCATGTGGAAATTCTATACTTCCATGGTCCACCACTCTAGTAGCTAGGAACTGGTACATGGCAAGGACTCCCATACTCCATTAGAAGAAAGAGGGGAATGAGGTGAGGAGCCCAGAGGAATGCCAACACCGGAGACAGTGCAATGGGTGACCACAAAAATCCCTATTTTGAAAAACAGTCCATCTCGATTTACTCAATCATGAAAGTCCATGGGTTAGTATGGTCTGGAACAGGCATTTTGTTGAAGCAAAATACAGCAAAGAAACCTACAAATGGTCTTGTGGAATACCCCATCTCAACAGTGTATGTTGTTGGCCATCGAGATTGGTGGGATCAGCCTCCACTCAAAGAAAACTTTGGTGTGACATCCCATACAGCACTTGCTATGCCACCCCAAACAACATTATCCTCTCTGGCCTAACTTCACTGAGGTGGAGAACCTGGAGTAGCAGGGTGTAACCTGTGCAACATTATTCCCTAGATAGGACTGCATAGAACCAGGAGCACAAATCACCAGGTGACGTCCTGAGAAACCACAGTCCGCAGTACGAGCAGAGCCAGAACTGTGCAACATCAACCTTTGGTACCCAACACACAGAGCTGGGGCAACTGAATCACTAGGCAGCTGATAATATAACCCTGTATGACTTATGGTCAGTCATACAGTGCAGAATTTTGTAAAATATATAGATAAGTAGCATACCTGGACAAGCAACACTTGCCACTGAGGGGGATCCATGACCTAATAAGGACATGCCTCTGAAAGAAAAATGGAAAAGCAAACTTACCAATTTTACAGTCAAACCAACTTTTGAAGTAATGGCAACAGGTGGAATACAGTACCCAGATGAGGAAGAAATGACTACCCAAAGAAGGGAGTGGGAGATGAACGTATGAGGGGTAGTCCACGTGCCTGACCAAAAAATCTCTTCTAAAAGACGACCTGGAAGAAGGAGACAAGGAGGAATATGCCAGATTGGTAAGGTGATGAACCCAGCCTGTCAGGGTAGAAGGGAAAAAATCATGCTGTGAAGAAAAGTTCCAGTGAATGAAAGAAGCAGGATTGGGGACCATGGAAGAAATCTGTGTGGGCAATTTAACAATGAAGAGCACAAACAAGATATAGAAGTCTTATCTGGATCTGACTGGTAATAGAAGTGGAAAAGGAAGGAAAAGGAAATTAGCAAAAACTCCCCTCACGAGCCGCAGAATATCGGGCAGAAATGAATAATCTGGATAAAGAAGAACATATGTGGAATAGAAAAAGAATATAAGAAATGTTGATGGTAAAGATCTCACACCGACGACACCCACAGGCAAGAAGGAGAAGGAAATAATTCTGAAAAGATAGGTGATACATGAAACAGGAGGCCAGAAGCTCAAAAAGAAAGAAGAGTAAGGGAGTAGAGAATGATAGGGACATTCCAATTCAGAAGGAATGCAATAACCGAGAATTGGAATGAACTGAAAACACAGAGCTGTATCTGGAAAAATAGAAGGTATTGAGCAAAGCTGAACAATATCTCGCAATGAATGAAACATAAGTACCATGATCGAACAGCCAGGTGAGAAAATTCACTAGAAGAGGGATAGTGGGCCAAGAAGAAGAAACTCCACAGCAGAGTGACAAATAGCAGAATACCTTCCACTTTCACTGATAAATTGCAAGGGAGGAAGGATGATTGGAACAGAACAAAAGGGATACTATACACATTAATAAACCAGACATTCTTACAAGAGACCGGAGAAATGCCACACGAGAAAGATGGAGTGTGTGAAGGGAGGATGAAGAGCTGGTAACCAAGATTGACGAAGGAGGGATGGTGTCAGAGGAAGAGGTAATAAAGGAGTTGTTTGGAGCTGAAGGGGAAGTGTAAACCAAGGTTGTGTCAGCCAGAAAGGATCAACTAGAAGGACCTGACATGGATTGGATTGAATGATTGAAATCACCTGGGAAGGAGCCAGATTGGAAGGTAGGCATACAGGTACTCTTTGGTCCAATTTTAACTAAGAACATCCACAGCCATGGCTTGCGGATGAGGAACCAGAGACCAAAAGTGAAGTAACTTGGTATTGAGGCAAGTGGCAAAAGCATCCAGATGAGGAATACTCCATTAAGTACAGAGCCATTGGAAAACCTGAGGGACAAGCAATCACTCTGTGGGGTACACTTGAGTGGGTCAGGAAAGATGGCCTGCTATAAAGTTGAAGGCACCTGGAACATGAAATTCCACGAAATGTATATGAAGCGTATGGGCCCAATAAAGGAGTTTCAATGTCCAAGAACAAAGTGAATGAGAACAGGTGCCCCCATGGAGATTGATATATGAAACAACAATGGAGTTGTTGGAATGGATTATAACCAATTTGTTTGGAACAAAGGGAAGGAAAAGTTCCAAACTATGACATTCTGCCAGAAGCTCCAAGATGTTGATATGGAAGGATTGTTTGACTGGAGACCACTGTCCGCAAGCCTCATGATGGTTGACCCACTCCCCCAACACTAGAGAGAAGAATCGGTGAATAGAAACAAATCCGGACGAGGAGGAGGAAGTGGCACACCCATCGTAGTGTTGCATCTGCTCAACCTCCAATAAAGATAGTGCAGGATGGAAGGAGGGAGGGTAAAAGAGGAGTATTCCAACCAAGATTCCGCTGATCGTCAAAGTCCACAGAAGAGAAAGCATACATGCAAGACCCAAGGGAATAATGAGTGCCATGGAAGCCCAAGTTCCCAAAAGTGATAGAACTTTGCATGCATAAAGTCAGGGAGAGAAGAGGGCATGGAAAACTGAAAGCTCCATCGAATGTAGACACAGGGTCCAACTGATGTAGGTGTTAAATACACCCCCCAAATGGAAAAGATATTGGGTAGGTATAAGAAAAAATTCTCCACTTTAAGAATGCAACCCACATAAGCTGCTTCAGGTAAAAGCAGGAAAGTGAGGTGAGAAGCTATAATTTCAGAAGGAGCTAAGAGAAGGCAGTTGTCTATGTAGTGGTGGAAGCACAGACTCGGAGCATGTACAAGTCGGGCAAAAGCTTTGATCACACAACAAAAAAGCATAAGGAGTAAAATCCCAGAAAAGAAAGACTGACAGGTTGTATACCATGCTGTGACAGTACAGCCTAAACCATCTTGGAAAGATGCTGGCTAGTGGTGGGATCCAAAAAAAGGGGAAGGACAGTGGACTGGGAGACTAGGGAAGTGGGAAGAGGAGCTGGAGAAAGACCATGTGAGAATATGCAGATCACCCATGAGTAGGGAGTAAATTCCTGAAACAGGTGGACAAATGAGCCCCAACTGGGCCGCTACCCAAAGAATAATCATCAGAACCATTGGCAGCAAAACACCTAACCAAAGGACTTAAGGAGGAGGAAATAGGCAAGGGTTGGAAGATGGAATGGGAGAGGGTTGAGACAAACAAGTAACCAAAGAAAAAGGGTTGAGTGTTGTCTCACAAACTCCACACTCGACTCCAAAGAGTCAGGGATATCTCCGAAAACAGATCCACACAGAAAAGAGGCCATCTGCAGGACATGTAGATAAATTGATGACAGGTGTACCTCAGACAAGAGAGCTTCCCCACCAAGGAGAACTCAGCAGGAAAAAGCCACGTGTGAAGGGATCGGGAAGAGGAGGACAACTGAGCCAACATGAGAAAATTATGATACGGTTATCCTCTAAAGACCCATCAGGGGAACAATGGATAGCCCCAGAAAGGAAAGAAGTAAGTGTAAGGCAAAGGCAGAAAACTGGGTCTGGGAGAAGCACAAAGACCCTCAGGGTCAGCCTCACACACAGGCAGAAGAAACTCTAGCTGCTTAGAGTCCAGAAAGGGAGAATCAGCTTGATAGTAAGCAAAGCCAAAATCATCTGAAGCCTGCAGAGGTTGAGGCATGCAGACCCCTGCCCTCAATTGAGACACAAAATGATCAGCATGGACCCTGATATTTGGAGGAGGAAAAACAAGGTACGTGGACAATGTAGCAGTGAAAAGGTAGGACATGGAACTGGGGATACAGGTTAAATGTAACATACCTGAGAAATCAAATCCAAGAAGGCGGGGGTGGGGTGGGGGGTGGGGGCTGGATGATTCCATAGGAGAGGCAAGGGCTTGCATAGCAGAGGGTGGAGGAAACAGGCTGACAAAATCCTCGTCACCATGAACTGGTTCCATTGGCACTGGAAGAAGAGAGATAGCCCATGTAAAGTTCAATCTTCTGATGAACAAAAGCCGAGACATCTTCAGCTGAAACCACCGTGCCTGAAGCCTGTGTCACTATATTCAAAGTAGTATTTACAGTAGTAGAAGTCATGAAACGAAATTCAGAAGTCACATTCAACTGTAAACAAGTTGGGAATCCAAGAAAAAAGTTTGAAAAAAAATATCAAACTAAAGAAAAAAAACAAAAACAAAGTAAGTTAACTTGATAATGAACTACAGATAACAAACGACTGTAGAAACTTGAAAGTACTACTTTGAAAAAGAAAAAGTATCGCATAAATTCACATGAAATTGTAGAACATCTGAACTTGACAACTGCCTAACAAGAAGTGATGGTTAGATTGAATAGAATAGATAGAGTACTGTGAATCAAGAGGGTGTGTCACAATCTTATTGGTGGAGGGTTGTCGCATGATAATTTACATGCAAAGATACAGTGAACCACATTGATTATGGGGTAGGCTAGAGTTTTAAGACTAGCGGAATGCAAAAAAAATTTGCATATAGAAGACAGCACTGAACAAGAAAAGCTATTATGTGAGATTTGAATGGAGGTAAGGTACCGTATCAGAAATACAATTAGTACAGTCCATGGGTTTTTCCCTACAAATTTTCACAAGATCAATCTACTAAAACTAAATAAGCTCATTTTTTGTGCATTCTGCTGGAATTATCCCTATACTTTATAAAACATCAGTTTCTTAATTTTAGGGATAATAACATGGTTTGGATTAGTTTTCAGCTACAAAAACAATGTTATTCGAAGCTGTCACCACTTTAAATCAGAATTTCTGGCTGGATCACCTGCTCGGATTTAAAGAGTCAAGTTATGGACAAACTACTAAGTTTACCTGCTGCAATCACTAGTTCTGAACTGCCCACAAGAGGGAAGGTAACCAGCCAACAGAATCCACCAACAACTCTCAGACATTATAATGTGATGGTAAATCCTACTTTCTGGTAAAGTGTTAGAAACTTTCCCATAACTTAAAAACATATATCCCAAATGGCTGAAAAGATAAGCATGGGTGGTGACAAATCATAAGGCAACCATCCTAATAACCAGACCAGGATGGTCTGAAGCTGAAAAAACATGAAGGAATAAAAAAATAATAATGACAAACCATAATGGAAATTTTTTAATTACTTGAATAGTTTGAATAATAAAAATATTAATACTCAGAAAACACTGATTTTGATAAGAAGTTGATTATTTTCATGAGTTGAGTTAAATTATGTTAAAGAAACTTGAATTAATTGAAAATAATAATGAAAAATCATAATTGCAATATTTCAGTTACTTGGCTACTTGGAATAATTGAAAAATGTAAAACTCAGAAACACTAATTTTGATCAGTTGATTATTTTTGTGATATTAATCAACTTATTGCCTAGCTGCAATAAACAAGGTATATGAGACTTTCATATTTTCTCACAGAATTTGCCAAAAGAAATTTAAACAAGTTTTTTTTAGTTTCAGAAAGTTATACCTCACATAAGACACTGAACTGAGCTCTTCGTGCCAGGGCAATAGTTAGAAGATCATAAACAGCTGTTACATTGTGGTATGAATGAATCCTGATATCCCTAAACTCTGGAGACCTGTCTAAAACAGCATTTCTCACAGCCTGTGGAAAAATAAAATAAATTACTATAGAAAAAGAAAGACAATTAATTAACACAACTTTAAAAATAACTTCTTTTTTTTAAATTCTGTACATCATGTAATAACATCCATTAAGTAGTTTGTGTGTATGTGATTGTTTTCAGATATTTGCACAAAGCTATTCAAGGACTATCTGCCATAGTTATCTCTAATTTTGAATGATGAGTCTAGAGAAAAGACAGACGGGCAACAGCATCCACCATCAATTATTCTTAAAAAATTGTGGGATTTGACCATTACCCTTATAATGCACCCAGAGCCTCAAAGTGTTTAGTAAATTTTTATTGGTGTGCAGTAATGGGGTGCAATCAATGGACAAGCAGATCCATAGCCTGGAATACTAACCACTGGACCATATTCAACCATCTTAGGGAGAGAAAGCTGTGATCTATATCTTTGCTATTAGCCAGGAGAACATATAAGAAACTTATGGTAGAGAAAAGTTCTTTTATTAGAATTACTTTTTCTTACAACTGTGTGCAAACATTTTAAGAACAAATAAGAAAAGTAAATATTTTTCTTACCATTGCTTCACTAATGAACAGTAGTAATAAAATTTCTTCATTTTCATCTTTTGGTACAAACAAACTGAAAAAAAAGTTTCATTCAAAAGTAGCAGAATATGATTTAACTATTTTAGGCAAACAATCCTGCTTTTTTCTCTGATTTCAGAAACATTATTATATATTTCAAGGATATTGATCAAAAGATATATTATTCTAGTTTTAACATTCAACTCAAACCTAAACTGCTCTGTAAGTCAGGTGGGGAAAAATCAAGGACAGAACACTTGGTTAATATATGTCATATTTTTGAATCATTTCAAAATGTTCTTGTATGTAACAAATAAATGTAAATAAGGTATTGAAAACGCATTTACAAGTTAAACAGACAAGAAAACATATACCCTTTATCCAGCTGTATGTAATATAAATATCAAGTTACACAACCCAATAGTTAATACATAATACATACAGACACTAATTTCTTTCATTGTTATATAGTGTTGATTTGATCACCTCTATATGATTGATGTAATTTATAGTATTAGAAGTATATAAACACCTAACAATCACCTACTTGGAAAATCGTATAAACATACAAACCTAAAAACTTGTATTAATTTTTATTTCTTACCATATACACACACACACATAAATATATATATATATATATAATGAAATAAATAACTTAAATACTATTATTTACATTAATTGTTTACAGGCAATTAAAATCAGCACTATAAAACAATAATAAACTTAATATAAAATAAGCATTAGGAAGATTTTAGTAAAGAATCCATTGTCAATCCCAGTTGTCACCTTAAAGTCATAAAGGATAATGCCTGTAGTGATAGCTTCCACATGCATTGGAGATATCCCATCTACCAGACAAAACCCAAATGTTGATGTTAAACTAGCCAGCAAGCATGAAAAATCAATTAGGGGTATGAAGTTCAGTGCTTACACACACAAAGTCTCAACTCCTACAGCCTCTCACTGTCTGCAGCCAGTTCTGGGAAGGTAGTTACTCTTAAAAGTTCTTATAATTCCTAAAGTAGAAATGAAACCATGCTAACATTTCTATTATGTGCAACTTCCAACCTCTGCCCTTACAAAAGAAATAACATAATACAAAATCTTAAAAAAGAACTACAATTGCATATATACATATACACACACACATGCATAATTCAATTAACTTTGAAGTTTACACTCACTAATCTTTATAAACATACTTACCTTTGTCCAGTGTATTTAAGTGGTTTCCATGGACCTTCTTCTCTTTGGTTCTCTGTAATAGGCAGATGAGTATTGTAGGCCTTTTCACACACTCCCCTTAGTAATACTTCAGCAAGCTGCCTGGACATAGTCTACAAACCATAAGAATGTCATTATCTCAAATTTCAATAAGAGCTGTACCAATCTACTTTTCTTCTGCTATTCTGGTAACAAAATATTAAAAAAAATTATAAAAATGTTTTTTTATAAAATTTCAAAAAGAATTATCATCACATCAACAGCTTTATTAGTTTCACCAGCAACATTAATCCTATGTGCTTGGGTGGAGGTCAAGGTGCACATGCCCCATCTTATACAGAATGATATTCAACATAAAATATCAGATACAGTATACAGGGATACTGAAGAAAAAAAATGCTACTGTATAATGGACAAAAGTATATTTTATTCTTCACATGAACATATACCCGACCTCTAACTTGTCAGTCTTGAGTCAAACTAACTTCATCATTTCACAGACATTATTTTATTACCACATCTCATTTTTGTGTATACAACAGCCTGTTGACTACTAGCTTTCCACATTTCATGAAGATACATTTTATAAATTTGAAATTGTGGTTAACATTACTGTAATACGGGGCCAGTCCATTGGACTTTCTCTGTGCAATTCAGTTAATACTGATAAAATTGAGAATATGTATATTTCAACATCTTTTGCTGTAAATAGGTACACATAAATTGAAAAACATACATTTTCTGTTCTTTCCTGTACCAAATCATTGGTAAAAATTAATATCCTACCCTATAAAACAAGTTTATTTGTCAACAAAATTTATAATAATGTTTTATTTAGAGGAGTAAAGTAACATCTGATATGCAGTTTCATATTATGCCGCAGATTTGTATCCTTGCACTTATCTCCTCGTCATCGAATTTGAAGGTCTTAGGTGTCATTTAACCCTCTAGTAACTTGTGGGTCAAACACTGATAAATGTCCATTGATATGAAAATAAATTACTTTAGATAAGAGATTTTCCATACATGTGTAGTTTATGGCTGTCCTAACAGATCAGATGACATCCTCAAGTGAGGTTTGTATTAAGTTCTGTTAGGTTACATGAAGGACAGAAAACTGAGGATCTCAGTCATTGCAGATGCGAGGTCTGGTTATACACTATCTCCAAAAAGGATTCCAACATTTTTCATACAGTAATATCTGTGTTGATAATTTTTACAATGTAAAAATACATTTTTATATAAATATAACTCTGAAATTAAGCAGGCTCACTTTTAAAATTACGAGGCATGAAACTTTAAAAACTGCTTGCATGAATGAGCTGATCAGCTAAATAACTAAACAAAGTTTTTTCTTGTGGTAGCACAAGTATTATAACTTCCTTTGCAAATAGAATAAAATAGACTTCAGTATTTATGGTCATACTGTATATACTTATTCTTTATTTTCAGGGAAGCCAGTAAACTTGTAAGACACAACATACCTGGACTTCAAACTAAGAAATTACCTGAGGAGGAAAGGGCCCAATCTAGGCTAACAAAATCTCCATTGGTAACCAAGATGTATGTTTGATTAATTATAACTTCATTATTGAAAGAAACCATATAAATCTGCATGGAAATAATTAATATAATAGATAATATTTTACATTATTTTTTTAAATGAATACATACCTGTATGAAATGGTTGCAAGTTGTTTGAGGTGAAGTATATAAGTTTGATAATTTTCTATGAACTTAGTGAATTTAATTAATTTGAACTGCTTGAGGTACCAGAGGGTTCATGATTGACAAAAGAATGACCAACATAAAGAAGCTAATGCCCTTGTCTCTTCATTAAAAACTACCAACCTGATGAAGACTCCAGCCAGCCTGTTAATGAACAGACATCTTGTGTTTTGTATTAGGGACATTTGATGATCAAGTATCACCAGAACATCATTCTGAATGTGATTCAGTTTTATCTCAGCACAAGCAGTCAGAATTACAAACACTTACTACAGAGAACACAAATTTAAGACAGAAGTTACAGAACACAAAGATAACTCCAGGCTGTTTTAAAGGCAAACCTTCAAATCTTGCACATGGAAGTATCCAGTTATCATATAAACACCAAAATGTGGTGAAATATTTCACATCACAAGTTCTATTTCTTTCATTTCAAAGTCTGGGATAGATGTAAAAATCACACACACATATATATGATTTGCTCAATAAACTTTTGCCTAGAGGTCTAATGTTGGCTGACAGAAGTTTTAATATTTAGAAAAATGTTGAATTTGTGTGTGCAGAAGCCAAAATTTCAATTTTACGAAAGACCCAGTTGCATGTCTATGAGATAGAGAGCACTAGAAACATTGCATTTGTAAGAATTCATGTAGAACATGTAATAGAACTAGTAAGAAACATTCCACAATTTTACAATAAACCTTATCTATTAATTATTTACTGACTGCTACGGAAGATGTGCCTGTTGTAGGTAAAATGGTAGCAATATGCTACAATCTGTGAAAAATATGCATGAATCGGCAGTTTGTATTTTAACTTAACGTGTGGAATGATACCTTTTACTCTTTTAAATATATTTACATATAACACATGGAAATGAAATAAAATATATGGAAATGAGCCTTTAGTTTTAAAAAATTAATTTTTTGCTAGCAGTATTTCAATGAAACAAATGGTATGAGCAATTTTTGAATTTAAGAGAACAATGAAATTATTAATTAACCCTAAAATTGTTTCACTCTTTACTATCTACTTGTTGTCTTGTTTGAACTTCAACATTATGTGCCATTATGTGCTAGATCACTGGTTCTCAACCTTTTTGGATCCACAGTACTCTTCTGTCATTTGTGTCACGGAACCCTTCATAGCATTCATTACAAAAAACATTAGTGCAATACTATATGATGATTTCTTTAACTTTCAATTTAACTCCATTCAAATATTCATAAAAAATAGGATAACAAAAACAAATAGCAAACAACAAACATTTATAAAAATTTTTGTAAATATTCAGAATATATCATGACAAAAACAAGTAATCAGCATTTCAGTTGCATTGCATTGTTTGGATTCTACACACACTTTAATGACTTGTTCACTAACTTCAAACAATGTGGTGACTCGTTATGTTGTGTCACCATAAAATCCGCTATCATCACCATCAAGTGCCGTGCTTTGTAGCGTAGATGATCATGTCCCTTCACCTTTACCAGTCCCAGGCACTTGTGATTACATCAGTCACCCTCTCTTTGTGTAGCCAAATTGTTAAACTGTCCGGGATCTTCTCTCGCTGTCTACCTCTAGTTCTTTTCTCCATAAATTTCCCAGTTGTTAGCAAGTGTTCCATCCCTTTTCTCCTCATCACATAGCCAAAGAATGCAGCTTGTCTTTTTCGTACTTTTTTTTATCAATGTTCTTTTTGTTTCTGCTTGTTGTAGAACTTATTCATTTATTTTCCAATCTTTGTAGGAAACCATAATCATTTAACACAGGAACCATATTTCAATCACATTAAGTGATTTTTCCATTTGTTTTTTTATATTGTCCATGATTCGCAACCGTACATCAAGATTGGTTAGATGTAGCAGCTAAGAACTCTTTTGCACACTTTCATTGATATGCCTTTGTTAGTCAGTATAGTTTTCATCTTCATAAATGTTGCCTTAGCCTGTGCAATTCTGCTCTTGATCTCATTTTGACATATGCCATCTGATGTAATCCATGTTCCAAGTATTTGAACTTGTAAATTTGATTGAGAAGGGTCCCATTTAATGATAAAGTGCATTTTGGACTGGTTTCATTCTTTGATATCACCATGGTTTCTGATTTCTTGGTGTTTAGGCAGAGTTCCATATTTCCGCTTTATTTATTTACAATGTCAAGTAAGCACTGAAGATCTTTTTCTGTTCCTGCTATTAACACTTTGTCATCAGCATATCTGATATTGTTTATATTGTTGCCTCCAATATTTATGTCTAGCATGTCTTCCATCTCTCTTATGATCATTTCACTGGACAAGAAGAGATCAGAGGATAACACACATCCTTGACAGACTCCTCTTTTTATCTTCTCAAATTGGCCATGCTCATTCTCAACTCTGATGACTGCTGTTTGGTCCCAATATATATTTTTGATGATTCTCATATCTTTACCATCTATATTGATATTTTTGATGATTCTCATATCTTTACCATCTATATTGATATTTTTGATGATTCCCATATCTTTACCATCTAAATAGTATAGTCTATGAAACAAAGATACAAATCTTGCTGTACTTCGATTGCATGCTCTATGATGGTCATCAGGATGTAAATTGCATTGGTTGTGCCTATACCTTCAACAAACCCACATTGTTCCTCTGCTATTTCAGGTTTGATTCTATTTCTTGCTCTCATCATAACTATTTTCAATAATATATTTTGTCAGGTGAATCATAAAACTTATTGTTCAGTGTAGTTCATGTTCAGGTGCACCTGGTTTCTTTGGTAATGCTATGTACATTGATTTTGATAAGTCTGTTGGGATATGGCCTGTTTCAAAGATGTTATTTATAAAACTTATAACCATGTTGATACCAAACTCATCTAATCCCTCAATCATTTCGATCATAATGTTGTCTTGTCCAGGGGATTTGAATGGTTCATGGTCATGATTATTCTTGGGAAAGTACAGCAGTGATTTCCCTTTGCCTTGTGCCAGTTTTGTGTAGTTTACTGGGGTAGCCTTTGTTAAATCAAGAACATCCCACTAGGCAGTGGGGGTCTGTGGATGGCCGTTGAATCATGCAAGTTCATTTGCTCTTTGACAGGTTTTGTTTTTAGTCCTGCAGGGATCCACAACATTCCTCTTCTGGCTAGAAATATGGGGAGTGCCGGTTTAGTTGGTGACAGACCAACCATGAAACCTGCTATACAAATAAAGAAAGATTGTAATTATGTGACTAGTATGTATTTACGTGTTAGAATATGCAGAACTCTTGCATTCTTCAGAATCTAGGTTGGAAAGCACTGTGCTAGATCACTTATTACTTTGACATTTTTAAAAGTTTATAACAATGTTGAAGTATTTCTTTTTTAGGGATTTCTAGGTAGATCTCATCATAAAGTTCAGACAAGATAAGTGGAAATTAATCTCCAAGATAGTAAGGAACATAGTGTTATCAGCATAACGTGGCATTATTAATAGAAAAACTGGGTTTGTTTTGGTTTCATGGAACTTTTGTAATAGAGATGACATTTTGGATTAAATTGATAATGTCACATTTGGTGATTTCTGAGTGACAGGACATCTCTTTGGTGTTATCAGTTACCTTCTTTTTTTTTTCTGTCTAGTTTTTGTTTCATAGATTTTGTGGACTGAAAGTCAATGTCATTTACCATGTCATACCCAGTAACTGTTTGACCATGATAAAAACAGTCTACAGAACTAAATACCCGTTAAACTCTCTATAAAACCCTAATTCTTTCATGGTACAACTCCCTAGTCCCTCAGTGAAACTATATATTTCTTCTACACCCAATACTTCCCACTACCTTATACTTTTATTTATTAAGTAAAATCCCATTATTCTTATTCTTTCATAAATAGAATTACCTTAACATCCACCATTTCTCAGCAAATTAAATGATATATAACATACTTCATCTATATCAAAAATTATCTTATCATTATGTATAAAAACAAATAGTAGATCAAAGTAAAGTGTAAAAACTTACAATAGCAATGACAAAAATCAAATACAATCATTTTGATTGAAAAGAGACGATGTTTTTGCTTCTATACTGAGGCTTTCCTTAGTTCTTTAGTTTTCAAACCTACTAAACTTCCACTGAAATAATATAAATACAGGTTTGTCTTACTCACAAACCCAAACACCTGTTTTTAAGAAGAAAAAAAAAAGACCTTGAAATATCAACTTATGACTGATGCATACTGACAAAGGCCATTATAATTAACATCCAAGAGTAGTTTTTCAGAAGAACAGTTCATTTCTTTCCTACTATATGGATCCTCTACACTCACTAACTTGTAAAAGAACTACTGTTACCAACAATTCTAGATCTTAACTTCAAGTCATTTGTTTTTGTACATCTACTGCTTCCTTTCTTTCTTTCAGCCACCTGACATTAAACTTAAAGTGGCAGATATCAAGCAGAACCATAAAGAGTAATATCTAAGATAGGAAAAACAAAGGAACTTCGAGTAAACATTCACCAAAATCAAATATCCTGGGCCAACCACATCAACAATATCCAGTCCAAGGCAAGCTTCAAGAGAAAGGCTTCATTATAAAAATAACTAATAGTTAGGCAAAAATTTATTGCCCTCAATACCGTTAATATATGAGCAGCTTTGAAAGAAATCTGTCAGAATATAGAAGTCAATGTGTATGGTGTATTTTATATTAGATTCAGACACAGCTGTAGAAGGTTTGACCCTGAGAAATGTGCATTATTTTGTGAATGATATAAAATTTACTTAACTTCTTATATTTAAATTACTTTGAGTAATGTACTCTATTAACATTAAACAATCAAATCCTGAAGAAAGACTGTTTACTTCCAACAGTGCTCAAGTTATCTATTTCTCTACCACCAACTTACTACAACTTATGTACAGAAACCCCTTTCCTTGTATTCAGACCCGATCTCTAATACATTCATTCAATCTCCTCTTAAACTGCTCTATCAAATCTAAGGTCTAATTATTCCTCACGACAACCACCCTATTAGAAAAATAATGCTACCTAAACTCTAACTGCACAGGGATGGTTGATTGAACTAAGCCCGTATTGAAGAATTAATGCTCACTATAATTCTGAATTTACTTTGTATATCTTTATGAAATATGGCAAGTTTGCAAAAAATATTATGAGTATGCTATACAGAAAAATTAAAATTTTTGATAAGGTGCTTCTACTAAAGATTTTAATCTGAATTTACTTTAGCCAGTCTGACTCAGACACCAACAAGGTGATTTTCACGTTAAGAATAAAAATATTTTTTCCACTTTACAGTTCCAAGTTTCATTTGCATCACCTCTAGAACCTCCTAAATTAACCTCAAAAGTTTTTTTCAGCAAAACCTAATATTTGACCAACCTTGTAACCAACAAAAAAAAAGAGAAAGAAATCTAAGTTAGCCTTTTTTCTTTTTAGAATGGCTCCAGATTGTACCGGAAAATTACAAAAATTTATCTTAAACAGCCTCAGGTTCATGACAGTTTCCCTCTGTTTTCAGTTAATTTTTTGGTTTTATTGCTCTTTGAACCATGTCTACTGCAAATAACAAATCACCCAGCAGGAGTGAGGAGAGTTTAAGGTACCCATTTTAAAACACAAACAATAATTCAAACAGTATAATAGAATGCCCCAAAAACTACTATAATTTATCTTGCTTTCTAATTGATGTACAAAGAGGACTGAAAAATTTCATTACTTACTGGAGCACTGACTTCAGTCTTCAATCGATACAATCTCCTTGGGAAATAGTGCCTGTTACCGAAATAAATTAACTTACAGATATTATAATCACATACTTCACAAAATTTTCTTTCTGTTGGTTATAAACATGTACCACTGACAAGTAAGTGTGAGTACATAACTAATTTCAAAACATGAAGAGGTAGGAGGAGTTCTGTGGTGGATGCAACAGAATCACTGATATCCCAGAAAACAAAAGGGTGGAAAGTTCTTACTTTAAATTCTGACCTGTCAATATTTATATTTGATGTTTCTAATTGGAAGGCATTGCAAAACCCATATAAGGGAAAAAAGAAAATCTAAAATGGAGAATTCAGAGCAGAGGGGCATAACATGATACAAAGAATTTATTTAAATATTTACTTTTTAAACTAAAAAATCAAAATTTGCATATTATTCAAATTTGAGTTATAGGCTTTGTTTTGATGCCAAAGTTACTGACATACCTTAATGATAACATTGTTTACTTAAATTTGAATGCAATTCTGTAAAAGTCGTAACATGCGCACTTTGACCCCACCTGTGCACGTACGGTTAACTGAAAATGTGTCCAAGTCTTCCATATCTTAAGTCCTGTAGTCTTCACACCTGCAGTTTTTGTATAAAAACATCATCTAAGCTTATAGATTACAAATCTCTAAAACTTTTAAAAACCATTTTTCTCAACCTTTTCAATATCAGGGACTCGCTTGCTGCTTCCCTAAACTGTCAGAAACCGCTAAAATGAAAGTTCAATGAAAAACCGTTGTGATTCATATATGAATATTGTTTCAGCTATTTTCCCATTTTTTTAAAATGAAATCCCACAGATTGAAAAGATGGCTGTGAAAAACTGATGGTTGAGAAACACTGGTCTAAAAAGCTTTAGACATGCAGTAACACCAAATTCTTCCCAAAAGGCTAGAAGGATTTCTTTAATTATAAAATAATATTCATTAAGTTTCTGTGCAAATGGATAAGTTGGGTCTGTTTAGCAAATTAAATGCAAAGTCAGTGATTTCTGTAAAATATATTTCTTGTTGATAATATCTAATACAACACTTGATCACTTCGTCTTAACTAATCAGTGTAAAAGTTACATTTTTTATGATGCCTGCAAATGTATTATGTTGAGAAAAAAAGTATATGAAAATTAGAAACATCCATAATGAAAGTAGCCTGCTTAAAACAATAAATTATTAACTTCTGATTCGAAAAAAAGTTCAGCAGGAAAACTGGCAAATAACCAGAACCACATTTATATAATTTTCACAACATACTATGAGTATGTATCTAACACAATATTTAACCTGGAAACAAATGTTTTATGCAAGTTATTTAGCTAAACAAGTCACCTTATTAAAAAATAAATTAACATGAGCTCAGAATGTTTAACATTTAACTATAGACTATCAATACGAATACTCAAATGCTTAGTTACTTGTCTAGGTGACTGGTTGGAGTTGCATTAACAGAGACTCAGAATGTTCACATTTAACTATAAAATATTAATAACTGTTTATTTACTTGTCTTAGTGACTGGGTGGAGCTGGTTTCCACTGCACTAAGGACATTTCTGTATTGTTCCACAGCCTTATATAATTTCCTAAAATATGAAATAAAACATCTTTAACTGTAACATATCAAAATTTCACAAAGTCAAGAAGAACATAATAAGCCATTTCTAAAACATAAATCTTATGTGAAAGTGAAAAAATGTGCTGTTGACTTTATTGTAAGGAATAAACCATCTCATTTTCTTTTGTTTTTAATTATATTGTTTCTTAAGAAAGATATTTTTATTATATTATTTCATGAAATGTATACCATTTAGATAAATCAATACTTTTAGTACTTTATTTATTTCCTATTACTGTAATGTTATGTAACCACAAGACACAGCTACCTTCTACTAGTCAAGCAGGGTTATATGAATGAGAAACTTGTTTCACAGAGTGAAGATCTAAACATGACAGGTAAGAACACAAATAGCATGTCTAATCTGGCTCCAGTAATATCTACTTTCTGTCTTTTTTTTATTTTGTTTTTCTTTCTAATGAGAGTAAAGCTAGAAATATAATCCAATTACTGTAAAGTGCAAGAAAGATGAAACATATCATTAAACAAAAAATGTTTGTTTGTTTGATGTTAAGCTGTCTGCTCTTTACCCACTATGAATATCAAATCCTGAGTTTTAGCTCTATAATCTATAAGCCCTCAGAATTACTCTGAGCAAATGGGAAAAGGGGAGCAACAAATGTGAGAATAAAATCTGGTGATGTACTTAACAGTGATATTCTTAGTCAAATATTATCACCAGGACATACCCTGAATGTTATTTTACAACTAATAGAGCAGAAACTAGTTTATAACTAAACTTAAATACTGACTGTACAGTTTTGCCGATATAAAGTTCAAGAAAAACAACCTGTTACTTACCCACTTCTTATCAAAAGAATGGGAGCTCTTTGGAGAGCTGTCTCTAAAATATATCCAATCCTATATTCTGTGTTTGGAGGCAGAGGTGATCCGGAACCTGATGTGGTGGCACCTGAAGACAACTGAGGAAGAGAGCCTCCACTGTGACCCTGAGTACGTTCAATCTCCTGAAGATAACGTAGAGCTAGTTCTCCAGCTTGTACCAAACAATTAATAACCTGCTCATCTCTTTCAGCAGCTTTGTTCTTGCTTGTGGTCTGAAGAGGAATCTTCTCCAAACAGAGCCCTTTAATAATAAAACCAGTAGAAACATTGCACATACAACAAACCCTAAGTACATAATTCAAAATATGAATGACAAGTTGAGGTACCCGTCCTTTGTCTGGGTTATGAATTTAAAAAAAAATGTGTGGTTGGATGCTATGATAAATAACACAAAAACTCTGACTTTTACACAATTTATTTATAACATAATATATTATTCCAGTATTCATTATTAGCTCACCAAAAGTTTTGTATATGCTTTAATAACTCAATATGTATATATTTAAAACATGGTATACATTGTGCAATGGTCAGGGTAACTTTGTAGGAAGAGGTAGTGGCCAAAGCAGTGGCAGTAGGGGTGCTTTCTGTCATCCATTTTCAACACCCAGCTCTTAATGTCCTTACACAATGTTTCACGTGATTAATTGATTGGCAGTCATTGGCCATAGAAGTGTGTTACTAGCTGAAATTCAAAGGTCACGAGTCAAAAGTAGGAAGTGGGTATAACTCAAGAAATCGCTCTTCACATCAGCCTTATGGTAGCTGTTGGAGTAGAAACTTCAGCTGAGTTTATGTAGTATTCCAATAGTGGTGGCCATTTTTTCATTGTATAGAGTATATATGTTTTGCACCCTTCCCCATATTTTATAGAAAATTTAACAATGTTTTTTGTTTTGGTATAAGAATGTGACACCATCTATGAATGCAGTTAATGTTAACTTATGTCATAGATCATAAATGCGCAATAAGAGCAATAATGGGGAAGGAGGAGGTTGTGAACCCCTCATTAACATGCTCATTGTTCCAAATTATCATCCCACAAAGTTTAGTTGAGATTGGCTCAGCAATCTAGTAGTTAGATAACGG